ATTGATACTCTTGGTAAAGTGTTATTGATACTCTTTGTAAAGTGTTTATTGATACTCTTTGGTAAAGTGTTATTGATACTCTTTGGTAAAGTGTATTGATACTCTTTGGTAAAGTGTTATTGATAACTCTTTGGGAAAGTGTTATTGATACTCTTTAGTAAAGTGTTATTGATACTCTTTAGTAAGTGTTATTGATACTCTTTGGTAAAGTGTTATTGATACTCTTTAGTAAAGTGTTATTGATACTCTTTGGGAAAGTGTTATTGATACTCTTTAGTAAAGTGTTATGATACTCTTTAGGTAAAGTGTTATGATACTCTTTGGTAAAGTGTTATTGATACTCTTTAGGTAAAGTGTTATTGATACTCTTTGGTAAAGTGTTATTGGATACTCTTTAGTAAAGTGTTATTGGATACTCTTTGGGAAAGTGTTATTGATACTCTTTGGTAAAGTGTTTATTGATACTCTTTGGTAAGTGTTATTGATACTCTTTGGTAAAGTGTTATTGATACTCTTAGTAAAGTTGTTATTGCTACTCTTTGGTAAAGTGTTATTGATACTCTTTAGTAAAGTGTTATTGATACTCTTTGGTAAAGTGTTATTGATACTCTTTGGTAAAGTGTTATTGATACTCTTTGGTAAAGTGTTATTGGTACTCTTTGGTAAAGTGTTATTGATACTCTTTAGTAAAGTGTTATTGATACTCTTTGGTAAAGTGTTATTGATACCTTTTGGTAAAGTGTTATTGGTACTCTTTGGTAAAGTGTTATTGGTACTCTTTGGTGAAAGTGTTATTGGTACTCTTGGTAAAGTGTATGATACTCTTTAGTAAAGTGTTATTGATACTCTTTGGTAAAGTGTTATTGATACTCTTGGTAAAGTGTTATGATACTCTTTGGTAAAGTGTTTTGATACTCTTTGGTAAAGTGTTATTGATACTCTTTGGTAAAGTGTTATTGATACTCTTTGGTAAAGTGTTATTGATACTCTTTGGTAAAGTGTTATTGATACTCTTTGGTAAAGTGTTATACTCTTTGGTAAAGTGTTATTGATACTCTTTAGTAAAGTGTTATTGATACCTCTTTAGTAAAGTGTTATGATACCTATTGGAAAGTGTTATTGATACTCTTTGGTAAAGTGTTATTGATACTCTTTGGTAAAGTGTATTGGATACTCTTTGGTTAAGTGTTATTGATACTCTTTGGTAAAGTGTTTTGATACTCTTTGGTAAGGTTATACTCTTTGGTAAGTGAGTTGATTGATAACTCTTTGGTAAAGTGTTATTGATACCCTTCTTTGGTAAAGTGTTATTGATACTCTTTGGGAAGTGTTATTGATACTCTTTGGTTAAAGTGTTATTGAATACTCTTTGAGTAAAGTGTTATTGATACTCTTTGGTAAAGTGTTATTGATACTCTTTGGTAAAGTGTTATTGATAATCTTTGGTAAAGTGTTATTGATACTCTTTAGTAAAGTGTTTATTGATACTCTTTAGTAAAGTGTTATTGATACTCTTTGGTAAAGTGTTATTGATACTCTGTTGGTAAAGTGTTATTGATACTCTTGGTAAAGTGTTATTGATACTCTTTGGTTAAAGTGTTATTGATACTCTTTTAGTAAAGTGTTATTGATACTCTTTGGTAAAGTGTTATTGATACTCTTTGGTAAAGTGTATGATACTCCTTTGGAAGTGTTATTGATACTCTTTGGTAAAGTGTTATTGATACTCTTTGGTAAAGTGTTATTGATACTCTTTGGTAAAGTGTTATTGATACTCTTTGGTAATAAGTGTTATTGATACTCTCTTGGTAAGTGTTATGATACTCTTTGGTAAAGTGTTATTGATACTCTTTGGTAAAGTGTTATTGATACTCTTTAGTAAAGTGTTTATTGATACTCTTTAGTAAAGTGTTATGATACTCTTTGGTAAAGTGTTATTGATACTCTTTAGTAAAGTGTTATTGATACTCTTTGGGAAAGTGTTATTGATACTCTTTGGTAAAGTGTTATTGATAGTCTTTGGTAAAGTGTTATTGATACTCTTTAGTAAAGTGTTATTGATACTCTTTAGTAAAGTGTTATTGATACTCTTTGGTAAAGTGTTATTGATACTCTTTAGTAAAGTGTTATTGATACTCTTTGGGAAAGTGTTATTGATACTCTTTGGTAAAGTGTTATTGATAGTCTTTGGTAAAGTGTTATTGATACTCTTTGGTAAAGTGTTATACTCTTTGGTAAAGTGTTATTGATACTCTTTAGTAAAGTGTTATTGATACTCTTTGGGAAAGTGTTATTGATACTCTTTAGTAAAGTGTTATTGATACTCTTTGGTAAAGTGTTATTGATACTCTTTGGTAAAGTGTTATTGATACTCTTTGGTAAAGTGTTATTGATACTCTTTGGTAAAATGTTATTGGTACTCTTTGGTAAAGTGTTATTGATACTTTTTAGTAAAGTGTTATTGATACTCTTTAGTAAAGTGTTATACTCTTTGGTAAAGTGTTATTGGTACTCTTTGGTAAAGTGTTATTGATACTCTTTAGTAAAGTGTTATTGATACTCTTTAGTAAAGTGTTATACTCTTTGGTAAAGTGTTATTGGTACTCTTTAGTAAAGTGTTATTGATACTCTTTGGTAAAGTGTTATTGATACTCTTTGGTAAAGTGTTATTGATACTCTTTGGTAAAGTGTTATTGATACTCTTTGGTAAAGTGTTATTGATACTCTTTAGTAAAGTGTTATTGATACTCTTTAGTAAAGTGTTATTGATACTCTTTGGTAAAGTGTTATTGATACTCTTTGGGAAAGTGTTATTGATACTCTTTGGGAAAGTGTTATTGATACTCTTTAGTAAAGTGTTATTGATACTCTTTGGGAAAGTGTTATTGATACTCTTTGGGAAAGTGTTATTGATACTCTTTAGTAAAGTGTTATTGATACTCTTTGGTAAAGTGTTATTGATACTCTTTAGTAAAGTGTTATTGATACTCTTTGGGAAAGTGTTATTGATACTCTTTAGTAAAGTGTTATTGATACTCTTTGGTAAAGTGTTATTGATACTCTTTGGTAAAGTGTTATTGATACTCTTTGGTAAAGTGTTATTGATACTCTTTGGTAAAGTGTTATTGATACTCTTTGGGAAAGTGTTATTGATACTCTTTAGTAAAGTGTTATTGATACTCTTTAGTAAAGTGTTATTGATACTCTTTGGTAAAGTGTTATTGATACTCTTTGGTAAAGTGTTATTGATACTCTTTGGTAAAGTGTTATTGATTACTCTTTGGGTAAGTGTTATTGATACTCTTTGGGAAAGTGTTATTGATACTCTTTAGTAAAGTGTTATTGATACTCTTTAGTAAAGTGTTATTGATACTCTTTGGTAAAGTGTTATTGATACTCTTTGGTAAAGTGTTATTGATACTCTTTGGTAAAGTGTTATTGATACTCTTTAGTAAAGTGTTATTGATACTCTTTAGTAAAGTGTTATTGATACTCTTTAGTAAAGTGTTATTGATACTCTTTGGGAAAGTGTTATTGATACTCTTTAGTAAAGTGTTATTGATACTCTTTGGTAAAGTGTTATTGATACTCTTTGGTAAAGTGTTATTGATACTCTTTGGTAAAGTGTTATTGATACTCTTTAGTAAAGTGTTATTGATACTCTTTGGTAAAGTGTTATTGATACTCTTTGGTAAAGTGTTATTGATACTCTTTGGTAAAGTGTTATTGATACTCTTTGGGAAAGTGTTATTGATACTCTTTGGGAAAGTGTTATTGATACTCTTTAGTAAAGTGTTATTGATACTCTTTGGTAAAGTGTTATTGATACTCTTTGGTAAAGTGTTATTGATACTCTTTGGTAAAGTGTTATACTCTTTGGTAAAGTGTTATTGATACTCTTTAGTAAAGTGTTATTGATACTCTTTAGTAAAGTGTTATTGATACTCTTTGGTAAAGTGTTATTGATACTCTTTGGGAAAGTGTTATTGATACTCTTTGGGAAAGTGTTATTGATACTCTTTAGTAAAGTGTTATTGATACTCTTTAGGAAAGTGTTATTGATACTCTTTGGGAAAGTGTTATTGATACTCTTTAGTAAAGTGTTATTGATACTCTTTGGTAAAGTGTTATTGATACTCTTTAGTAAAGTGTTATTGATACTCTTTGGGAAAGTGTTATTGATACTCTTTAGTAAAGTGTTATTGATACTCTTTAGTAAAGTGTTATTGATACTCTTTAGTAAAGTGTTATTGATACTCTTTAGTAAAGTGTTATTGATACTCTTTGGGAAAGTGTTATTGATACTCTTTGGTAAAGTGTTATTGATACTCTTTAGTAAAGTGTTATTGATACTCTTTGGTAAAGTGTTATTGATACTCTTTGGTAAAGTGTTATTGATACTCTTTGGTAAAGTGTTATTGATACTCTTTAGTAAAGTGTTATTGATACTCTTTGGTAAAGTGTTATTGATACTCTTTAGTAAAGTGTTATTGATACTCTTTGGTAAAGTGTTATTGATACTCTTTGGGAAAGTGTTATTGATACTCTTTGGTAAAGTGTTATTGATACTCTTTGGGAAAGTGTTATTGATACTCTTTAGTAAAGTGTTATTGATACTCTTTGGTAAAGTGTTATTGATACTCTTTGGTAAAGTGTTATTGATACTCTTTGGTAAAGTGTTATTGATACTCTTTAGTAAAGTGTTATTGATACTCTTGGTAAGTGTTATTGATACTCTTTGGTAAAAGTGTTATTGATACTCTTTGGTAAAGTGTTATTGATACTCTTTGGTAAAGTGTTATTGATACTCTTTGGTAAGTGTTATTGATACTCTTTAGTAAAGTGTTATTGATACTCTTTGGGAAAGTGTTATTGATACTCTTTGGTAAAGTGTTATTGATACTCTTTAGTAAAGTGTTATTGATACTCTTCACAGTCTGATTCAGAGGCTCGATGCTAACACCCTCACAGAAGGGATGAAGTGACAGATATCTCAAGTCTCACTGTGGGTTGGTGTCAGGGTTGATCTTCTTCAGCGCCATGATGTCCTCGATGGTCTTCTCCACTTTATCAGGATGAACGCTGAGCGCAGACTGAAGCAGCTGCAGAGGAAGAGGAGGGAGGAAAACAGAAGATGAAGATGTAATTTGATCAAAGTTAAAAAATGTAACGACACACGATATTCAAACTGAGGATTAAGAGACGTACCGTATTTTTGGAACACCGCAGAGATGATTCTGGAAAAGAAAACAACATTAAGTTAAACATCAATTATTGTTATTATTAATATTACAATAACTCCAAAAACTAGGAAATGATAATCAGGATATTTACACCTCCTGCCATTTAGAGTGTTTTTGTACTTGAGTAAAAGTAGAAGTACTCAGATCTTGTACTTGAGTAAAAGTAGAAGTACTCAGATCTTGTACTTGAGTAAAAGTAGAAGTACTCAGATCTTGTAGTAAAAGTAGAAGTACTCAGATCTTGTACTTGAGTAAAAGTAGAAGTACTCAGATCTTGTTCTTGAGTAAAAGTAGAAGTACTCAGATCTTGTACTTGAGTAAATGTAGAAGTACTCAGATCTTGTACTTGAGTAAAAGTAGAAGTACTCAGATCTTGTAGTAAAAGTAGAAGTACTCAGATATTGTACTTGAGTAAAAGTAGAAGTACTCAGATCTTGTACTTGAGTAAAAGTAGAAGTACTCAGATCTTGTAGTAAAGTAGAAGTACTCAGATCTTGTACTTGAGTAAAAGTAGAAGTACTCAGATCTTGTACTTGATTAAAAGTAGAAGTACTCAGATATTGTACTTGAGTAAAAGTAGAAGTACTCAGATCTTGTACTTGAGTAAAAGTAGAAGTACTCAGATCTTGTAGTAAAAGTAGAAGTACTCAGATCTTGTACTTGAGTAAAAGTAGAAGTACTCAGATATTGTACTTGAGTAAAAGTAGAAGTACTCAGATATTGTAGTAAAAGTAGAAGTACTCAGATCTTGTACTTGAGTAAAAGTAGAAGTACTCAGATCTTGTAGTAAAAGTAGAAGTACTCAGATATTCTACTTGAGTAAAAGTAGAAGTACTCAGATCTTGTACTTGAGTAAAGGTAGAAGTACTCAGATATTGTAGTAAAAGTAGAAGTACTCAGATCTTGTACTTGAGTAAAAGTAGAAGTACTCAGATCTTGTTCTTGAGTAAAAGTAGAAGTACTCAGATCTTGTACTTGAGTAAAAGTAGAAGTACTCAGATCTTGTACTTGAGTAAAAGTAGAAGTACTCAGATCTTGTAGTAAAAGTAGAAGTACTCAGATCTTGTTCTTGATTAAAAGTAGAAGTACTCAGATCTTGCTCTTGAGTAAAAGTAGAAGTACTCAGATCTTGTACTTGAGTAAAAGTAGAAGTACTCAGATCTTGTACTTGAGTAAAAGTAGAAGTACTCAGATCTTGTAGTAAAAGTAGAAGTACTCAGATCTTGTACTTGAGTAAAAGTAGAAGTAATCAGATCTTGTACTTGAGTAAAAGTAGAAGTACTCAGATCTTGTACTTGAGTAAAAGTAGAAGTACTCAGATCTTGTACTTGAGTAAAAGTAGAAGTAATCAGATCTTGTACTTGAGTAAAAGTAGAAGTACTCAGATCTTGTACTTGAGTAAAAGTAGAAGTACTCAGATCTTGTTCTTGAGTAAAAGTAGAAGTACTCAGATCTTGTAGTAAAAGTAGAAGTACTCAGATATTGTACTTGAGTAAAAGTAGAAGTACTCAGATCTTGTACTTGAGTAAAAGTAGAAGTACTCAGATCTTGTAGTAAAAGTAGAAGTACTCAGATCTTGTACTTGAGTAAAAGTAGAAGTAATCAGATCTTGTACTTGAGTAAAAGTAGAAGTACTCAGATCTTGTACTTGAGTAAAAGTAGAAGTACTCAGATCTTGTTCTTGAGTAAAAGTAGAAGTACTCAGATCTTGTTCTTGAGTAAAAGTAGAAGTACTCAGATCTTGTACCTGAGTAAAAGTAGAAGTACTCAGATCTTGTTCTTGAGTAAAAGTAGAAGTACTCAGATATTGTACCTGAGTAAAAGTAGAAGTACTCAGATCTTGTACTTGAGTGAAAGTAGAAGTACTCAGATCTTGTACTTGAGTAAAAGTAGAAGTACTCGGATCTTGTACTTGAGTAAAAGTATAAGTACTCAGGTCTTGTACTTGAGTAAAAGTAGAAGTACTCAGATCTTGTACTTGAGTAAAAGTAGAAGTACTCAGATCTTGTAGTAAAAGTAGAAGTACTCAGGTCTTGTACTTGAGTAAAAGTAGAAGTACTCAGGTCTTGTACTTGAGTAAAAGTAGAAGTACTCAGATATTGTACTTGAGTAAAAGTAGAAGTACCAGAGTGTAGGAATACTCTGTTTCAGTAAAAGTCCTGCATTCAAAATGTTCCTCAAGTAAAAGTAGAAAAGTATTCTCATCAAAATATAGTGAAAGTACAGTAAAAGTAGTGATTGTGCAGATTGGTCCATTTCAGAATAATATATATGATATGTTTTATAATGATTGATCATGAAAGTGTTCTCAAAGCTGGTAAAGGTGCAGCTAGTTTGAATGACTTTGTATACTGCAGGGTAGCTTGTGGATTTACTCCAGGTGGAACTAAAGTCTGATTTAACACTTGGTTAGATTTCACATCATTCATCCAGATCTGTGAAGTAACTAAAGGTATTAAACATGTAGTGGAGTAAAAGTACACCATGTACCTCTGAACTGTAGTGGAGTAAAAGTACACAGTAGCATAAAATGGAAATACTTAAGTAAAATACAGTAAGTACAGTACTTGAGTAAATCTACTTAGTTGCTTCCCGCCTCTGATTACTGTCGGCTTCATAAACATGACTTTATTATCAGGCAGTGTGAGAGTTACCTATCTTCAGGGTCCTGCGGGCTCCATGCTTGTTGTTGTAGCAGATCCTCTGCAGCTCGCAGCGACCCGTTAGCTTCCTGGTGACGAACTTCAGTCCTCGCCACAAACACTTACAGTACAGGAAGACGAAGAACTGCGTCACCACCCTGCAGATTTCAGAGATTCAAGAATCAAAGGTGTTATTGTCATATGCACAAAGCTACAGTGTAACAATGGCAATTACATTCTTCTGACCTGAGCTCCTCCAACAATGCAACATATATTTTACATTACATCACATTTAGCTGAGGCTTTTATCCAAAGCGACTTACAATAAGTGCATTCGACCAGGAAGATACAAACTTGAAGAAAACAGAATCATATAAGTACATCATGTTTCATAGAGCCAGAACATTTCAAGTGCTACTCAACTGGCTTTAGATAAGCCAGTCCTTTGTTAGTATATAAGTGCTTTGTTAGTAATTCTTATATAGATATATAATAAAATATAAAAATAAAAAATAGTGCAAGAAGTCTCTATACATGTAAATACAATAGGATATGTACAAGAACAGAATATGAAATAAAATAATGTAAATTAAGACAAAAGAGGGTGAGATACGGACTTCAGTGTCATCTGTTAAAGTGCTACAAATATAGTCGGTTGAATACTCGATTCTGATTGGTCGATTTGGACATTCCAGAGGTCTGTTATTTTTCGCTAGCAGTCCGTTGTTAAGGAGAGCAGACCGTCGCTAAGGAGAGCAGATCGTTGCTAAGGAAAGCAGACCGTTGCTAAGGAGAGCAGACCGTTGCTAAGGAGAGCAGACCGTTGCGACGAAGTGCAGACCGTCGCTAAGGAGAGCAGACTGTTGCTATGGAGGATACTCTGATCAAAGGGACTATTTGCATTTAGTATTTACTACTGATATTAAATGGAAATTACATTTAGATAAAAAAATGTTGGTCTTACATGTTAGTAAATTGAATATTTGGGAGTTTTGGTAATAATATAAAACAATAAATGATATTGTTTTGAGTTTATTTACTACTTTTTATGTTTTACAGACCTATATTAACTGCCACTTCAACCTTTAGTGAAAAAACGTAAAGACTTGGTACTCTAAAATAACAATAAATGGGAAAAAAACGTCAAGCTGGTCTTACATGTTAGTAAATTGAATATTTGTTGAGTTTTGGTAATAAAATAAAACAGTTAATGATATTGTTATGAACATTTTCAATACTTTTTTCTATATTAACTGTCACTTCAAGCGTTAAAAAAAAAATGTGCAGCTCCTAATAGTTTCCTTAAAATGTACCCTTATTTATTGCAAAAAAATAGTTTTTTACAGGATTTTACGGATTATTAGCTCACTATTTTGGGGGATTCATATTAAAATCCCATCCTATTCAGAGTGAAGATGTAAAATGGGCTCAATAAGAGTAAAACAATAAGATTGTGTGTTACTTCTCGTCTCCCAGCAGCAGATCAAAGTGTGCTATTTTTACAGATGACACTGAGGACTAAAATGGAAATGTGTGTCTTGGGAAATGCAGAGCGACCCGTTATAAAAACGTGGAGACTAAATGATTTCTATCCTCCTCTGGATTTACTCTGAACGTTAGGAAAGAAGGAGGAACACACTTATGTTGTAGTGATTACATCATCCTGAAACACAGAATTAGGGCCTGTTTGTAACTTAGCATCTCAAATAAAGAGGACTAAGATTCTCAGAATAATGAGTTAGCATAAGGAAATGATTACTTAAAAATATCTTAGCATCTAAAAATACCGACAGCGTCTCATAATATAGACTTAGCATCCCAAAATAACGACTCCTATCTCAAAATATAGACTAAGCCTCCCAAAATAACGTCATATGTCTCATAATAATGACTTAACATGTCAAATAAATGAATAAGCATCTCAGAATAATGAGTTAGCATCTGAAAAAATGACTTAGCATCAAAAAATAACGACACATGTCAAAATATGCATCCCAACATAACTTCTTCTCAAAATAACAACCTAGCATTTCAAATAATGACCTATATCTCAAAATATAGACTAAGCATCTCAAAGTAAGGCCTTAACAACGTTAAATATAGACCTAGCATCCCAAAATGTTGAGTTATATCTCAAAATAACAACCTAGCATCTCTGACAAATGACAATTAGCATCTCAAAATAACGACATATATCCCAAAATAACAACCTAGCATCTCAAATAACGACTAAGAAGAGTGTTGTTTTAAGAATAATGACTTAGCATCCCAAAATAAGGCCTTACCAACTTAAAATGTAGAACTAGCATCCCAAAATGTGGACATATATCTCAAAATATAGACTTAGCATCCCAAGATATAGACTTATCAATATTTTGACTAAGCATCCCATTTCTCATTATTTCGACCTGCTATGTAATTTTTCACAGGGTGTTTTTTTTTCTGAATAAATGGTTTCCACACACAGAAAGCAACAGCTCTATTAATAGAGACTTGGTGTACATGTGCTCCATAATTAAGAGGCCTCCTTCTCCATACAGCCACTTATACTGGCCACAATAAGATAATCGATCCGCCTTCACTGGGAGAAATGGGAATACACATCCTGCAGTATTTAGTGCAAACAAGACATTGCAGTGGATCGAAATGGACGAAGGAAAACAGGCACAGAAAACGGAGATTTTGAATGAATAAAATGCAAATTAAAGAGTGTCTTTACCTCAGAAAATGCTTCATCTTGGTGTTTTCGGTGGTGTTTCTGCAGAGAGATCACCTGCAGACAGAAAGCAGAGGACGTGTCTGTGTGCAGGATTAACGCGCAAATAATCTGCGGCTTTTCCTCCTGCCTGCACCCGGTGAGCAGCGCTAATATTAACCTGCAATCCGTGCAACGACACACACACATATCCAAGGAGATATGTGGTTTATTTCCCCTTTAGTGCATCAATAACACATTTTATAAACGCTCCGTGGTCTGCGGGCCGGTTAGCAACCCGGTGCACAAACACAGAATCATCCATAGCGACACACGGTGGCTGTAAATGCTTCAGTGCATGCAATAAAAACACTAAAATCCATGCGATAACACACAATAATGTCCTCTTACCGACGTGAGAGGAGTATAAAGGCTAAAAGAAGATGGAGGTGCCTGGTGTTGTGCTGCTCACTGCTGCAGAGCCTCCATGATGATGACAGTCAGTGTGCAGAGACTCACTGCAGAATACTGAGGAGGACAACATCAATTATACATTCACACAGCATTCCCCTCTCTCTGGGGTATAGAGAGGGTTTACTGTGAACAAAACCTAAATAATGTGATGATTTATGGATAAAATTGCTTATTGCATTCTTTTTAGGCAGGTTTGAGGAGGAATGGATAATATCATGTGATGGGATTACGTAATGGGGATCAACAAAAAAGGTAACTGTATTTTCTTAAAATTACATAAAATAATCTGACTGTCTCTTAAGAATTGCATGTAAAAGTAACCACACATTACATTTTAAAAACCCTCAAAATTATTCCAATAAATAAAATAAAAATGTGTAGAGATGCTAATTATTTTCTCTTAATCTGCTAATTGATCAATCTTTTATTGAATAAACAGTAAACTAAACATTGCAACATATCATAATTTAAAGATGTGTTGCAATGCATGTATTTCTTTGCAGACACTTCTGTTATTACAGTATCTGCACCTCGCCTTGAATACATCTCCAGCCTCTTGATTAAATATATATAATAACTGGCTTTTAAATGTAGTATATTCAGAGGTGGGAAGTAGTGGAGTACAAATACTTTGTTACTGTACTTAAGTACATTTTTCTGGTATCAGTACTTTACTCCACTACTTATTTTCCTGATGACTTTTTACTTTGACTTCTTACATTTTGAACACAAATACCTGTACTTTCTACTTCTTACATGTTGATTACAAATACCTGTACTTTCTACTTCTTACATGTTGAACCCAAATACCTGTACTTTCTACTTCTTACATGTTGAACACAAATACCTGTACTTTCTACTTCTTACATGTTGAACACAAATACCTGTACTTTCTACTTCTTACATGTTGAACTCAAATACCTGTACTTTCTACTTCTTACATGTTGAACCCAAATACCTGTACTTTCTACTTCTTACATTTTGAACACAAATACCTGTACTTTCTACTTCTTACATGTTGATTACAAATACCTGTACTTTCTACTTCTTACATGTTGAACCCAAATACCTGTACTTTCTACTTCTTACATGTTGAACACAAATACCTGTACTTTCTACTTCTTACATGTTGAACACAAATACCTGTACTTTCTACTTCTCACATGTTGAACACAAATACCTGTACTTTCTACTTCTTACATGTTGAACTCAAATACCTGTACTTTCTACTTCTTACATGTTGAACTCAAATACCTGTACTTTCTACTTCTTACATGTTGAACTCAAATACCTGTACTTTCTACTTCTTACATTTTGAACACAAATACCTGTACTTTCTACTTCTTACATGTTGAACCCAAATACCTGTACTTTCTACTTCTTACATGTTGAACACAAATACCTGTACTTTCTACTTCTTACATGTTGAACCCAAATACCTGTACTTTCTACTTCTTACATGTTGAACTCAAATACCTGTACTTTCTACTTCTTACATGTTGAACTCAAATACCTGTACTTTCTACTTCTTACATGTTGAACACAAATACCTGTACTTTCTACTTCTTACATTTTGAACTCAAATACCTGTACTTTCTACTTCTTACATGTTGAACACAAATACCTGTACTTTCTACTTCTTACATGTTGAACACAAATACCTGTACTTTCTACTTCTTACATGTTGATTACAAATACCTGTACTTTCTACTTCTTACATGTTGAACACAAATACCTGTACTTTCTACTTCTTACATGTTGAACACTAATACCTGTACGTTCTACTTCTTACATTTTGAACTCAAATACCTGTACTTTCTACTTCTCACATGTTGAACACAAATACCTGTACTTTCTACTTCTTACATGTTGATTACAAATACCTGTACTTTCTACTTCTTACATGTTGAACACAAATACCTGTACTTTCTACTTCTTACATGTTGATTACAAATACCTGTACTTTCTACTTCTTACATGTTGAACACAAATACCTGTACTTTCTACTTCTTACATGTTGAACACAAATACCTGTACTTTCTACTTCTCACATGTTGAACACAAATACCTGTACTTTCTACTTCTTACATGTTGATTACAAATACCTGTACTTTCTACTTCTTACATGTTGAACACAAATACCTGTACTTTCTACTTCTTACATGTTGATTACAAATACCTGTACTTTCTACTTCTTACATGTTGAACACAAATACCTGTACTTTCTACTTCTTACATTTTGAACTCAAATACCTGTACTTTCTACTTCTTACATGTTGAACACAAATACCTGTACTTTCTACTTCTTACATGTTGAACCCAAATACCTGTACTTTCTACTTCTTACATGTTGAACACTAATACCTGTACTTTCTACTTCTTACATGTTGAACACTAATACCTGTACTTTCTACTTCTTACATGTTGAACTCAAATACCTGTACTTTCTACTTCTTACATGTTGAACACAAATACCTGTACTTTCTACTTCTTACATGTTGAACACTAATACCTGTACTTTCTACTTCTTACATGTTGAACTCAAATACCTGTACTTTCTACTTCTTACATGTTGAACACAAATACCTGTACTTTCTACTTCTTACATGTTGAACACAAATACCTGTACTTTCTACTTCTTACATTTTGAACTCAAATACCTGTACTTTCTACTTCTTACATGTTGAACACAAATACCTGTACTTTCTACTTCTTACATGTTGAACACAAATACCTGTACTTTCTACTTCTTACATGTTGATTACAAATACCTGTACTTTCTACTTCTTACATGTTGAACACAAATACCTGTACTTTCTACTTCTTACATGTTGAACACAAATACCTGTACTTTCTACTTCTCACATGTTGAACACAAATACCTGTACTTTCTACTTCTTACATGTTGAACTCAAATACCTGTACTTTCTACTTCTTACATGTGAACTCAAATACCTGTACTTTCTACTTCTTACATGTTGAACTCAAATACCTGTACTTTCTACTTCTTACATTTTGAACACAAATACCTGTACTTTCTACTTCTTACATGTTGAACCCAAATACCTGTACTTTCTACTTCTTACATGTTGAACACAAATACCTGTACTTTCTACTTCTTACATGTTGAACCCAAATACCTGTACTTTCTACTTCTTACATGTTGAACTCAAATACCTGTACTTTCTACTTCTTACATGTTGAACTCAAATACCTGTACTTTCTACTTCTTACATGTTGAACACAAATACCTGTACTTTCTACTTCTTACATGTTGAACCCAAATACCTGTACTTTCTACTTCTTACATGTTGAACACTAATACCTGTACTTTCTACTTCTTACATGTTGAACACTAATACCTGTACTTTCTACTTCTTACATGTTGAACTCAAATACCTGTACTTTCTACTTCTTACATGTTGAACACAAATACCTGTACTTTCTACTTCTTACATGTTGAACACTAATACCTGTACTTTCTACTTCTTACATGTTGAACTCAAATACCTGTACTTTCTACTTCTTACATGTTGAACTCAAATACCTGTACTTTCTACTTCTTACATGTTGAACACAAATACCTGTACTTTCTACTTCTTACATTTTGAACTCAAATACCTGTACTTTCTACTTCTTACATGTTGAACACAAATACCTGTACTTTCTACTTCTTACATGTTGAACACAAATACCTGTACTTTCTACTTCTTACATGTTGATTACAAATACCTGTACTTTCTACTTCTTACATGTTGAACACAAATACCTGTACTTTCTACTTCTTACATGTTGAACACTAATACCTGTACTTTCTACTTCTTACATTTTGAACTCAAATACCTGTACTTTCTACTTCTTACATGTTGAACACAAATACCTGTACTTTCTACTTCTTACATGTTGAACACAAATACCTGTACTTTCTACTTCTTACATGTTGAACCCAAATACCTGTACTTTCTACTTCTTACATTTTGAACACAAATACCTGTACTTTCTACTTCTTACATGTTGATTACAAATACCTGTACTTTCTACTTCTTACATGTTGAACACAAATACCTGTACTTTCTACTTCTTACATTTTGAACTCAAATACCTGTACTTTCTACTTCTTACATGTTGAACACAAATACCTGTACTTTCTACTTCTTACATGTTGAACCCAAATACCTGTACTTTCTACTTCTTACATGTTGAACACTAATACCTGTACTTTCTACTTCTTACATGTTGAACACTAATACCTGTACTTTCTACTTCTTACATGTTGAACACAAATACCTGTACTTTCTACTTCTTACATGTTGAACACAAATACCTGTACTTTCTACTTCTTACATGTTGAACCCAAATACCTGTACTTTCTACTTCTTACATGTTGAACACTAATACCTGTACTTTCTACTTCTTACATGTTGAACACAAATACCTGTACTTTCTACTTCTTACATGTTGAACACAAATACCTGTACTTTCTACTTCTTACATGTTGAACCCAAATACCTGTACTTTCTACTTCTTACATGTTGAACCCAAATACCTGTACTTTCTACTTCTTACATGTTGAACACAAATACCTGTACTTTCTACTTCTTACATGTTGAACCCAAATACCTGTACTTTCTACTTCTTACATGTTGAACCCAAATACCTGTACTTTCTACTTCTTACATGTTGAACCCAAATACCTGTACTTTCTACTTCTTACATGTTGAACACAAATACCTGTACTTTCTACTTCTTACATGTTGAACCCAAATACCTGTACTTTCTACTTCTTACATGTTGAACCCAAATACCTGTACTTTCTACTTCTCACATGTTGAACCCAAATACCTGTACTTTCTACTTCTTACATGTTGAACACAAATACCTGTACTTTCTACTTCTCACATGTTGAACACAAATACCTGTACTTTCTACTTCTTACATGTTGAACACAAATACCTGTACTTTCTACTTCTTACATGTTGAACACAAATACCTGTACTTTCTACTTCTTACATGTTGAACACAAATACCTGTACTTTCTACTTCTTACATGTTGAACCCAAATACCTGTACTTTCTACTTCTCACATGTTGAACCCAAATACCTGTACTTTCTACTTCTT